CCAGAAATAGATCTCCAGAGAAAGGAAGTGAAGTATTTTGTCCCTTGTATGCTACACTATGCCTATATTAAGGATAAGGTCACATGTTCATAAAGAAAACTTTGAAGAACAAGGATATTATCAGCATATATATTTATATATTTATAAATAACTTTGCTTCATAGATATTTATTTCCTCTCTTTCATAGAGATCATTTAGACCAAAAAAAAAAAAGAGTAGCTCCTTGACTATATATTGCCCCATCAGAAGCTCACAGAATGCACGCAGCTTGTTTATCATTTTTTTTGCTGCAAAAATGTAAGGAGTGTAAGTCACCTAAGAGCTGTTTGGGTTGGAAGAATATAAACCAGGATAGACATTTTAATACTGTGTCTTTAAGAGCATGCTAAAAACTGCAATTGGGTGTAGTTCTGTAAATGGCCATAAGATGGAACCAAAAACCTGGGTTTTTAGTTTCAGAAGTCTCAGTGAAGTGAGTGAGTCTCTGTTTCCTTCTACTGGAAAGATTTTTGCCGTTCCTCCATTTTTCCCTATTGACTGTTATTGGATTTGATGTAAGTCTGTTACTGAACTTTTTTGATACTGGACTTTTATATTGGAATTATCCCTGGACTGACTGCTTTAACTGTACTTGACTTGGACTGTGTGTGGACTTTGCTTAAACATTTATTGAAAGTAAAAACGTACATTAACTGTACAGTGTATCTGTGTGCTGTGTGTGTATTATTCAAACACTTCTCTCACTACGTCTCCCTGTATGCACTCATTCTCCTAACGGGGAATTACCTCAATAAAAAATGGTCATTGGCAATAAAGAGATGTACAATAGAAAATGAACTTAGTGTCAATTGTTCAGGTTCAAAGGGAAGAGCATTATACATGCATTTTGCTTTCTTGGAAATAGGATATTATAATACCAGAATATAGGTTATAGGATGAGCGAACAGATTTTTAATTGCAGTGGTCCTGTAATAGTAATTATGACCACAATTGAGCTCAAAATTTCCATTGCTCAACAAGATAATTGTTAAATTAGTTTTGCCCCATTTTACGACCTTGCCACAACTGTTAAGTGAATTACTGCAGTTGTTGAGTTAGTAATATGGTCAAGTGAATCTGACATTTTTGCTTGTTAGAAGGTTGCAAAAGGTGATCACATGACTCCAGAACACTGCACCTGTCATAAATATATGCCAGTTGTCAAGTGCTTGATTTTGGGTCATGTGACCATGGGGTGACAGTGCAACAACATGAAAAATGGTAGTAAGTTACCTTTTTCAGTGCTGTTGTAACTTTGAACAGTCATTAAATGAGTGGTTATAAGTCAAGGACTGCATGAATATTATTATAGCAAGGAAATGTGGTGTATTTAGTATTTTTTTCAAGTATCCTGCAGGCATATTTTCATATCAAATGAATGCAGCCATTGCATTATAATTATGAAATCAATACAAAAAAACAGTCCAAACTAAAGGATATATCTATTAAAACATTAAAATTGCACCATGCATATTTGGAAAAATGAAAAGATGTCCAGGCATGAAACGATAATCTCACATTACTGGAGAGAGATCTATAACTTGGATATTGTCATCAAGAAAGCCCTAACTTTAGTAGTGGAGGTAAGTTAAGTCATCCTTTCATGTGGACATTTGTCCTCATCCTATAAAATAAAAATTAAATAAGCAACTAATTTAATTTGGCCTGAAAACATATTGAAAAATACTACAAAGCAGAAGTAACAATTAGCAGTTCTGAAGCTCATGGCATGTATAGTTATGAACATGGAACAGGTCTATTTAAAATTGCTTTTAAAATTTCCAATTAAATTAACCAACTAATCTTCAGTCGTCCCCAACCCTCTAGTACAGGAGTGTCAAAACTGGTGGCCCATGGGCCAGATCATCATATGAAGACTACACCCACCCTAGCTCTGCAAAGGCAAAAAAAGTCACAATACATCACGATACGTCACATGACACCATTGAGTTTGTTGTCTGTGCTCTAGAAAGTCTGGAGATCTGGTGTTTTTAGTTTTGGTTCCAAGGTGTTTGAGAGTCTTAAGCTTATTTCATCCAAAACCTGCATCAGTATAGCTTCAAGTGGGAGTGAGAAGTCAGGGTTAGGGTTATGCTATGACAAATATTCCCTTATATAGGCATTATTTCAGTTGCACTTTCCTTAGTCTAGCTTCCTAAACTTTACATGCTTGTGTTCTTTTAATATAAAATCCATGATGTCATGATTCTTTTGCACAAATTTTATGATGTCGTGATATCTTTGCATAATTTATGTGTGGGAAGCATAATGAACAAAAAGATAAGGTGCAAAGTCTTGAAGGTTTTCTGTTATACACTGAATGAAAAAGACATTTAAAAATTCACATTTGTGTCATTTTTGTAACAGATTTTTTTTTCGCGGGAGGGGGGCTTCTCTGGATGTAGTGTATTGGTACTGACATTAGCTTGCAGGGTCTGCACAATTGCCTTCTTTGTTCTTACTAAAATATGAGTTAGCATATGTTAGACAGCATTAGCTTTCACTTCTAGGGATTTCAGTAGTTCTAAATTTGGCACTGCTAAGCTGATGCTCTGTTGCTTGAATCAATCGGGGCTGTTATTTTTAGCAAGAAAGAATTGAAATAGCAATTTGCTTTCCCTGTAATGGATCCCAAGAGGAATATTGATACAAGCTCTCTGTCATTGCATATATTTCCCCTCCCCAAAAACATCTAGACAAAAGACAGCTGTCAAAGCTTACTGCAGCATTAATATTTAATCAATCAAGTGTTCGTGAATTAAGTGTTCAAGGGGCAAAAAGGCATGAGCTGAACCAGTTTCAAGTAACTAAGCAGTTTGTATAATGCAGGTAGAGGGCAAACTTCCAAGTGTTCCTAATAATGTGCCTTTTGATTTTGATATATTATTAATAAAAATAAATTCAGTAGGCTAAAACCACACATAATATTTTAACCATCTCAAGTTAATTTTTCAAAATTCATTTATGACTGCAGAGAATTTTGGGGTCATATGCGTCAAGTGCCAGCATTAAGTTATGTAAAGGCATTTTCCTTCCTTTCAAGTGAAGGACTTCAGTTTAACTTGAATGCTGATTTGTGGAGGAAATATTGGGATATTTGTTGTTATTATTACTCTGGTTTGTCGCCCCGTCAACCAGATGTTTAGATTGGATTTGGCATTTTTTTTATCCACATATTGAATCCTTCCTAAGGCAGATGTTGTTTGATGGTATTAAAAACATTGCAGGCTGTAAGCTGTTCTGGGTAAAGCTGCCTTTACTAATGGTGATTTTGTCAATGCTGATGGTGTTCATGCTCCAGATGTTTTGGGATTGTACCCAAGGTGCCTATCACTGTTAGTACGATCTTTGTTTCTTCTGCTACAGTTGTTCTTTTTGCAGGTCTTTGTAGTTTGTGATTTTCTCCAGTTCTTTCTCTTCTACCTTATTTTCCGGACTATAGACCGCATCGGAATATAAGCCGCACCCACTAAATTTTAAAAGAAAAAATATTTTTACATATATTAGCTTCACCAGACTATAAGCCGCAGATATATATGTTGTGAAATGAAGATATTTACAAAGAAAGAGAAGAATGCTCTTCGCATGCGGCCAGACGTCTCCAATGTCTCACCATTGATTCATTAACACTAAGCTTACGTGCAGCAGCTTTATTTCCTTCCTGGATAGACAGATCAATTGCTTTCAACTTAAAAGCTGCATCATATGCTTTTCTTCGTGTACTTTCCATGATGAGGGTGTGAAAAATATTTTGCGTTCGTGCGTGTCGTGCTGCTTGCATCAAGCATGCCAAAAACTACTGGTAGCGTCTTCTTCTTTGCATTGACCTCTTGCATCTGTCATGTTTTTGCGCCCCCTGATGGCAGTTAGCGAAGAAAAATCTATAGATAAGCCGCATTGTTGTACAAGCCACACGGTTCAAAGCGTGGGACAAAAAGTAGTGGCTTATATGAAAATATGGTACTTCGTTGTCTCTAACTATTGCCACATCTGCTATCCATTCTTTATTGTCTTTCCTAGCAACAATTCTTAGGTCTAGGAGTTTATGAGTTGGGTGTTTGTGTGTTTGAATTTTAAAGTCCCAGACATATCTGGCCTTCATTGCCATTACTCTGTTTCATTGTTCAACAGTGATAGTCCTGTTTAAGGTTCCGAGGTTTTAAAACATATATTGGAGCCAAACTATCACCAAAGCTGGTTCTGTTTTGGTTTGTCTCATGGTCCAAGGCAAGTCAGATTGCTTTTTCTATTGTGAAATAATGGTGACTGGTAATTTGTGTTAAGGATATAAGGAACTTGTTATTTCATGTTACTTTGTAATGAAATCATTTGCATCTGGATATTGCTGATTAATTCACAGTAGTCTCAAATTCTAATTTTTAGGGACATGATAAAATAATGCAGATATTACAGGTAATATCTGAAGTTTATTTGCAACCATAATTGGAACCAAAACTGCCAATGCTAAGCAATGTGGTCATTAAGTTAATGACACCTGGTTTTACCATCATTTTGCTGTGATTGTTAAGTGAATTGCTGCAGTCATTGAACAAGCCATGCAGGCACTGAGCAACTTTGACTTGCCACATTGACTTTGCTTGTGAGAAGCCACCTGGGAAGGTTGCAAATGACAGTCACATGATACCAGGATGCTGTAATTATCATAAATAAATGCCAGTTTCCAAGTACCCAAATTTTGCGCACAGGGATGCTGCAATGGTCATAAGTGCAAGGACTGATCGTAAGTCACTCTTTTCAGTGCTGTCATAACTTCAGCACGGATGTTAAACAAATGGTTGTAAGTTGAGGACTTACAATCCTTCAGTTGGGGTGGAAATTAAAGAGTCTCTTTAAAGGGCCCTTTGTAATGAGAATGTTAATATCCAGTGGTTATGATATTCTGTACTTTGGAAATCTTAATTCACTCATAATTTTATTTTCTCTGCCCTTTATTTTATAGTTGTCACAGGAGCTACAGATGGAATTGGAAAGGCTTATGCAGAAGCGGTAAGTTTTAAACTTGTATACCTCAGCCCTACCCCAAATAGTGATTCTATGTATTCTTTGAGTAGTGATCTGTTTTGGAATTGTTTCCCTTTATGAAAGTAATTCAAGAATAAATGTTTTCTTCATATATGTTAAGGAAACACAAAATACATTTAAAAGTTAGAAGTAAATTCATTTTGGATTAGAATGGGAAAGATGAATTCCACTGTGCAAAAGAGAGGAGGCTGTGATTATGGTTATCCTCTGATAGTGTCATTAACGTTAGATTTTGCTGCTGGAAAATGTGTCCATTGTATTTTTCCCTAGAATGATTGGTTCTCCACTGAGCCGAAGGAGAATCCAGGTTGGGTTGGCTCATGGACCTCTTTGCAGTGGCTGAGGCAGTTGCAGGGCAGAATTCCACCTGAGGACCTTAGGGTGCATCACGATCTAAATAAGATAATAGCTGCAGCACAATTGACAGCAAATGCCATGCTCACTGCAGCCAAATTTTCATCCAGGACCATTGCCTTTTCTGTAATAGCACGTAGGCTTCTTTGGCTACGAAATTGGCAAATGAACTCCAGGAACAAATGGAAGCTGGCATCAGCCCCCTTTAAGGGGAAGAGGCTTTGGGGGGGGTCTCTGAATCCCTTTTTAATAGAGACCAGAGACAACAAGCGAAAGATCCTCCCTTCTCAGGGGAGGCCTTTTGATTACTGCCCTTTGCCCTATTCCAGGAGGCCTTCCTTTAGACGGGGAGGCTGGGGCGAGTGTTTCCCATCAAAATAGGCCCTTCTTCCAGAGTTGATCTTCTCAGGCCGATAGAGCAGCCTTTGCTGCCAGAGGCCGTCAGAGGGCAAGAGGTCCTTCTGGGGATCCTGTAAGCCATTTAGACACAACAAGTGATGCCAGAGACATCTATCCCATAGGGGACTGTCTGGGTCTCTTCTGGCAGAAGTGTGAAGAGACCATGATGCACGCTTGGATCCTGGCAACTATACCATCAGGGCTCTCTCTGGAATTTCTTTCCTCTCCCACAAGGGTCTTTATGTGCTCCAAGGCCCCGACAAAGAGGGCACTCAGGGAATTGGCGATCCAGCATTTGCTGGATATCCATGCCATGCAGCCAGTTCCAGTGAACCAGAGGGGATGGGGGTTTTATGCAATTTTGTTTGTCATCCCAAAGGCCTCGGGGTGGTGGTGGCAGCGGGTAATTCTCAACTTGAAAGGACTCAACAGGCATCTGATATACTGAAGATTCAAGATGCACTCCCTTCACTCAATCCTTGAGGGAATTTGGGAGGGAGACTTTTTGGCTTCGGTAGACCTGATGGAGGCTTACCTCCATGTGCCCATCCATCCAGACAATTGCCAGTTCCTGAGGTTTTGCTATTTTCAATACAAAGCTCTTCTGTTCAGCCTGGCATCAGCCCTGCGGACATTTACCAAGCTCCCGGCGGCTGTAGTGTCATACCTCAGGTGCATACCCATAAGGATCCAGGTTATCTGGACAATATCCTGATAGAATCCTCTTCCTGACCCTAGGTGGATTTGATAACAAGAATCAGGATACTTTGGGAGCACGGGTTCTCAATAAACCTGGACAAATGCCATCTGGTCCTGTCAACTTGTCTTGCATTTGGGGCAGTCATAGACATGCTGGCGGGACAGGTCTTCCTCTCCCAAGAGCGTCGGGACAGCATAAAAACTGCGAGAACTCATATCCTGTCTTCCAGAGAAGCACCCATCATCTTGCTGTCTCAACTTCTGGGCAAGATGATCTCCTGCATCGGCATTGCTCCCTGGGCCTGATTCCATGTTCGGACTCTGAAGTGATTCTGTTCCACTATCAGAGGTGGGCAGGGGCAACTCAGTGATGAGGGTCCGAGTGCCACTGGTGGTTCTCCACTCATTCCATTGGCAATCCTGGGCCATGGATCAGGGGTGCTTGTACAGGGAGCCACAGAGAATTTCCATCACCACCGATGCCAGTCTGTATGGTTGAGGGGCTTACCTAGGAACCCGGATTACCCAAGGGCAGTGGTCACAGGAGGAGCTCGCCTACAACATAAACTGGCTCTAAAGCTCAGGGTTGCCGCAACTGCATCCCAGTCTGTTCCAGGAGATGTCGGAATGGTTTGGCCGACCGGTTCTGGCCCTCTTTGCCTCTCCAGAGAACTTGCAACTCCCGAGGTTTTTTGCACAGTTTCCAGCACCGGGGGCGGAAGGGGTCAGCAGTCTCCAGTGCAGGTGGCCCTAGGGGCTATTGTATGCCTTGCTCCCCCCTTCCCTTGATCCCAGGGACAATCAGAAAGGTACTGGTGGAGAGGTTGGAGGTTTTATTGATAGCCCCTTACTGGCCTAGGCAACCTTGGTTCACCGATCTGGTAGGCCTGTCGGTCGTCAGGTCTTGGAGAATTCCCCCGGACAGAGTCTCCCTCAGCCAGGGTCTAATCGAACATCTGGAGCAGAATGGTTCCGGTTGACCATCTGGCGCTTGAGCGGGGGCTCCTGAAATGGGAGAAGTTTTCCAAAAAGATTATTCAGACAATCCAAGAGGCCAGACAATCTTCCATGACCAGAATATACGATGCCACGTGGAAGATTTTCTGCGGCTGGTATGCCAGCTACCAATTGGAGCCCACTTCGGTGTCAGTGGCAGATGTGTTGGAGTTTCTGCAAGATGGTTTGGACAGAGGTTTCTCCCCCAATACCTTAAAGAGACAGGTGGCCCCTTTGGCCTGGGTGCTTTCATTCGAGGACTCAAACACTCTTGCCCAACACCCAGGTTGAGAGCCTTCCTTCGGGGAGCCACGAATTTGAAGCCGCCATTGGTTCACTGTAACCCCACCTGGGACTTGCCGAAGGTCTTGCAGGCACTGACTTCTTCTCTATTTGAACCTTTGCATGAAGCCAGTCTGCATCTACTCACATGCAAGGTGTCATTCCTAGTGGCCATTACATCAGCCAGGCGTATTTCAGAATTGGCGGCTTTATCAGTTAGAAAGGACCTTTGTGTTTTTCATACGGACAGGGTGGTTCTGTGGTTGGACCCTACCTTGCTGCCTAAGGTGAACTCCTTATCCCATTGTTCACAGGAGTTGATTTTGCCTGACTTTTGCCCAGAGCCTAAACATGCTCTGGAGAGGAAATGGCACACCTTGGACATCAGGAGGGCCCTCCCCATTGAGTCCCTGTTTGTCTCTTTTCAGCCGTCAGCCTTGTGCCACCTTCAACCGTGGGTCGCTGGCTCAGAGATTGTATTGCTAAAGCCTATGAGTTACAGGCTCTTCCTGTGCCCAGGAGAATCACCGCACACTCTACCAGAAGTGTGGCGACTACTGCAGCCTGGGCAACGCAGGCATTGGTTCTAGACATTTGCCGAGCTGCAACGTGGTTGTCTGTGACCCCATTCATCAGACATTATTGGATTGACTTTTGCCTCTGTGAAGGCGGCCTTTGGCAGGCGAGTCTTGCTGGGTGTACATGTAGAGGCAGGGACCTCAGACCAGACCAATTCCCACCTGTAGAACAGCCAACAGCCAGCTTTGGTATGTCCCAGCCTGGATTTTCCCTTTGGCTCAGTGGAGAAGGGGCGTTGGTCCTACCTGATACGCCTCTTCTCAAGGAGTCAAAGGGAGAATCCAGTCCCATCCTGAAGTCTGTCTAGTCAGAGTCAGGAGAGGGATTTTCATTGAGAGGACTATCTTTCAAAGGATGATGGACAGCGGAATTCAGTTCGACTTCATTCAGAACTGGGGGCTGTTATTGGGGAGGGGTTATCCTCAATTTTTCGACTTGGTCTATAGAGCTATGAGGCTTGAGACAACTCAGCCTGGATTCTCCCTTTGAGTCTATCAGGTAGAACCAACACCCCTTATACTCATAATCAAGTTTATTATTTCATACTGTAGAAGTGAAAGTTTCTTTTAAAATTCCCTTCATGTATATTAGAGGTGAGTTACTGTAAGTTATTGTAATACACAGTTATTTATGCATTAATTTCAAGCTCAGACATTTCTAGAGCAATTGAAGCATTCTGATTTGAATATGAGAGAATTCATATTGAAAATATTTTACATGTCCCTATTGTATATGACGATATGTGTACATGTTGATATATCCACGTAATGTGTGAAAAGAAAACTCTTGGAATGCAAGCTATGTGTAAGTAGTCCCTTGATTGTAGAAATAGTCAGTACCAGTCATTCTTATGTATTCTATTTGTTTTGTATGTTACATTGTGTTCTGTGTGCATGTGCAAAAAAGCCAGCTGTCATTTTTGCATTCCTTGTATAAATTTAGGTTACATAAGTCAGGTGTTGTATGAACAGACTGGCAGTACAAAGAAATTTGTACTCATGAATATACATGTAAGATATTGGTGCTGTGTTCTGTATTGCCTTTGGCCCACCCCAAATGTCGACAGAATTGAAATATTTTCAATTAATTTATTAATATCTGGAATCTGCTTTGCATATAAATTTTAACAATGGTATTCTTGCTTATTGTATTCACACCTGATCAATATAATTTTTCTTGTAATTGATTGTGTGCCATTTTAGTACAAACTGTTAACAGTCACATAGATTTCTCCATGACAATCTCTTTTTAACTTGGTATCTTGATCTGGACCAGGCACGTGTGCACACATGCAGAAATTTGGCTGTAAGACTTCACTTTAAATGCAGTGGTGTGCGGCTGCTGGTTCGGACTTGCTCGCCTGTACCAGTAGTTACAACCACTGGCTGGGCCCACCTACCGGCACTGGCGTTATCCTGTCCTATATATCTGGCTCGCTCGCCCCATATCATTGATGTGCATTTTAGTCAAGTACTGTTATTACTATACCCTTACAAACCATAAAAGCAACACTTTCTTATTTATTTTTCATTTTTGAGTAGTAAACAATGTGATCTTCTGAATGAAATGTGCAATCTGGATCCATCATAATTCATTGATGCCTTAGATATCAATTTGTAGTTCTTTCATCTTTCACTGTATTGAACTTATATTCC